GGGCAAGCCATGGCAATTTGAAAAACGGCATGTCCATGATGGTTTCACAAACCGATATTCTTTCTTTCACAATGAAAGGAAAATCATCTTGACTCCACTTTCACCAAACCGAGAAATGAAGATCAAAACAACTTGAGGAAAAACATTGAAGAAATGAATGAGCAACTTGAAGAAGACATTGGAGTTGAAAATGAGAGAGTTGAAAAGGATGAATTTGGAGATAAAGAGGAGAATGAAGAACATATTTTAACTAACCTTACTCTTTCATCTATTCTTCCTATTTTTTTGCATGTCAATTCAAGAGACGTATTTTTTCAAGTTGATGATTCAAAAATCATGGCTTTTGGAAAACTAAAAGATGTGACTCTTGAAGAACCAATAGTCATGACTTTTGGAGATTCACAAAACATGTCTCTTGATAATTCAAAGGTTATGCCATTTGAAGTTCCAAAACAAGCATCACTTGAAGTACCAAGAGTTGTGTTCGTTGACATTCCATGTGCATTGCCAATCATGAAAAGAATTCAACAACCAACTCCCATTAAACATCCACCTTGGTTTGATACTTTCATTTATTTTGTATATAATTTTTCATAATCTAACTTTGATTTACTTTGCAAGAATTTGAGTTATGTAAATGGTATTATCCTACCAAATGTTAATGACAAGATTCTTTGTCGTTATAAGCCTGATTGGTGCATTGAACTCAATCATTTCAAGAAGTTTCAAAGGCTAAGACTCTCCACAAAATGGCATAATGATTCAAAGAGTGGAGATGAAGAGTTACCTACTCTTTTAAAAGAACATGATGTTTCAGATCAAAGAAATATTCCAAATGACGCAATTGGTCAAATAGAGGAACCAAGAGGTGTGATCCATGGAAGCTTAAGGGAATTATCTTTTCAAGTGCTAAAAGCTATAATTTTTCATAACTCAATGGATATGACTTTTGAAGAACCAAACAATATGTCTTTTGGGGTACCAAAAGATATAATCATTCAAGACAATATGTCTTCAAAAGACATAACTATTGGTTATCCAAAACATGAGAACAGAGAGTACAACTTTCATTTACCCATAATTACTAATTCTCTTACTTATGAAATTTCTTATCTTTTCAGGTCATGGACATTCCAGGAACCTATTCAAGGGATACGACTCTTGATAAGAATCCTTTCATAAAGATGATCTATTAAGGCAAACCAGCAACGATTGAATGGGCGTACAATTTGGAGAACTCACCTTTCGATTTGAGGATAAATCACCCAAAAGAAGGGGAGGATGATGTGATACTATCTAGCACCAACTTTCTTCATGACATACTCACATCATTGAAGATCCATCAAGCTCAATATAAGGGAGATCTACTATACTTTATATTATATTTACTCATTTATGAACTATATATTATGATGAGCATGCATTTGCATATTATACTATACTTGAATTATCATAGCATGTGCATTCATTCGTTATGTCCTATTGTTTGCATCATTGATTGCTATTCATGCATATAATCTATAGTTATAATAATAATATTCATTCATTATCATATGATGCATGAGTTATTATTATAACCTATAGTTCACATCTTTATAATATGAAAATCCTTATTACCTTATAATAATTCATATACTTAACTTAATTCTTTATGTTATGTGTGTAGGTACATTCGGCCAACACTTGGGAGCTAAATTGGAGAAAAATGGAGTATGCAACAGCAAGGAAACTTATATAGGGACGTTTAGGAGAGCATAAGGAACCATTGGTGAGAAGTTGTCTAGATACCCATGAGCTCATAGCTGGATTGAGCTGAAGATTTGAGCTGCAAGATGACTTCAATTCAACTGTGGAGCAGCACCATCATCATCACCACTTAGGACACTTCAAATATGTCCTAAGTCAAAATTTGTGAAATAGTACCTTTTCGCGAATAGTTGCCACCTCAAAAGGTACTTTTTCACAAGGAGTTTCCATAATGTTCACCATTCTACAACTCACCTATGGTTAGCTCACCTCCAGCTCATTCACACCAGAAGTAGCTCAAATATGAAGGGATACCTTTCCAAACATTGTGACCTTTCATGAATGATGCTGCCCATGAAGATGTCCTTTCACCAAGGAGCACGTTGGTGAAAAGATCACACCCATTTGAGGCCTAAATCACCAAAAGACTTGAGATAGAGCTCCATACTTATTCAACCACACCACATGCCTTGCACATGAGAGATATGGCGCCAAACATGGGGAGGCACATCATCATTCGGCCAAGGGAGGTGTCTTTGACGCCAAGTTGAACCAACATGCACATTCAGCCAAGGGAGAAGTCTTCCCACCCTTTGCCGAAACATCAAGGCCCTTCATGAAGGGTTAGCGGAACCAACACCAAGCCAAGGGACTTCTCTTTTTATTTTGAATCATTATGTACTTCCATAGAGACATGTACTTAGCCGAAACACTATGTAACCATTCGGCTAAGCCCTCTTATTTCCTATAAATTGAGAGGCTTTCCATCATTTGTAATCATCTCTTCTCATATATTAAGCATACTCTTGTGAGTTAATTTCTCTTTAAAGTTCTTTGTGAACTTTATCGATTAAGCAAGTATAATTCATATACTTGTGGCGACATTCCTTCCATTTTGATTCCTAAATTCCTAAATTGATATCTAGTGTGTTGAAGACACTATCACCACCCCTCAAGCAAGTTTGTGAAGATCGGGATTTTGCTTCCTAGCATTGTTTCCTCTTTGGCGTGCTTGAGATACAACATCACCATCATCTCCATTTCATCATCAACCATCATCAACATCTTTCATTAAGACCATCACCAACTTCATACTTCCACAACCATATATTTCTATCTTTATTTCATTTCTTTCTATTTTCATTACTTATATTATTATCCATTTCTTAAGTCCGTCATTAATATTATTTCTTTCTTAGTTTATTGCAGCCTAAGCTTATAAATTCAAGGACATCAGTACTTGTCAATCCTAGATCGGGACACAATAAGGCTATCTACTCTCTTCCACCAAAGCGTGTAGAATCGCCTTACATCATTATCTCTCTTGACCTAGTTGGTCAATAAGACGAGTGGCTTAAATATTTATTAGTAGAAATTCCATTATGAGGAAAATCGAATCCTCAGATGTCCTTATTGTGTGATTCAAAAGCAATGATATGTGTGGCTCAGAACCAAACTATAAAGGTAAAAAAAAATATATTCGCATAAGGAATAAATCAATGAGACACTTAATAAGGAATGAACTGCTCTCTTTAGAGTATTTGAAGTAGGAAAGGAAACTTGTTGATCCGTTTACCAAAGGTTGAAGTAAGAAACTAATTATGGATTCATCAATGGGGGATGGGATTAAAGCCCTTTAGTTGAGAAATTCATGGTGGACACCTAACTTTTTTATCTAAGTTCAATGAGGTCAAATGAAGTAATGGAAAGACTCATAGTGTATATTTCTATCTTTCTATCCATATATCGAATAATATACATACACAAGATGAGCTTTATTACTCTTAATAAATTCGTAGTCCATACTTTGGGTGGTATTAGTGATAGAGACTTGATGAATTTATCGTCTTTGTTTGAATATTTATTCTTAATAAGTACATACTCAATGTTGAGTCAGTGTTCCTATTACAAATGACTATATGAACTTGTCTTTGGAGAGGTTGAGTTTTCTTAAACTCTTAATGAATTCAATCCCAAGAGTTTAGGTTAATCCTATTTGAGAAGGATATATTGAATTCATCGATTAAAGAAGTTGAGTATTTATTCTTAATGATTTCTTATCTCAGAGTTTGGGTGATTCATTTAAGATGAACTTGAAGATATTCACCTTATTTATTATGAGGTTGAGCTTTTGTAAAAACTCTTAATTATTTTATAATTCGATTTTTGGGTGATTAATGTTGAGATAAACCTGATGAAATAACCTACATAAATGAGAATGACTAGCCACATTCTATAAAAAATATTGGGTCATTTTTCTAGTAAGCTTACTAAAATCTTGAGGAAAGAGGACTATATATATACATTCATATATATACTTTTTTGACACATTAAGTACTTCAGCGGATGAAGGGGTTAGTTGTGTGTTATGAGTTCATTATAATCTTAGAAAGTTCAAGATTTGTTTACTTATCTAAGAGAAGAATTACTCAGTTATTATGTACTAGTTCAAGATACGTTCATTAGTGCTTAAGCAAGTAATCTCGCTATTGCTCTTCTCGTGTTTTTAAACTCAAATTTATCTATCTGTTTTTTGAAGAATTCTTACGTATTTGTGGAGGAATATTAGTAATGCTCAAATAGTATAAAAGCATATAACCCACATTGAAAAGTGAAATACCTTTGGAAAGATATTTAAAGGGCCACACTTTCCCTCTTTAATTGAACGTGACAAGCTCGATTCGACTCACTACTAGAAAAAAAACTCATTTAATGACGCTCATTGCGCGTCATCTATGAGTGCAGATGATACACAAATGCGCGTCATTAAAACCACTGATATAAATCTCAGATGACATGCAATTGTGTCATAAATCTATGACGTGCATTTATAACGTTCATTGAGCGTCATTAAAGCCCCCATCATAAATGAAGTTGACACACATTTGTGTGTCGTAAATTTATGACACACATATATGATTTACATTGCTTGTCATTGAAGCACACGTCATAAAAAAGAGAACACACATCCGTGTGTCGTGATTGTATTTCGTAAATTATATATATATATATATATATATATATATATATATATATATATATATATATATATATGTAGATTAAAAATAATCAAACTAAATCACATTTAATACCTCATAATACTAAATATATATATATCATATTATATATAAGCAATCCATTCGCATGCAATATATTCACATTAAGTTATAAAATATAATGTAATCATATGTCGATACAAAATATCACGACATAATAAAATTTGCCACATAAGATACCCATTCTTTACGAATATCATCAATGTCATCATCTGTGTATTCTTCCTTCCCAACGCCAACCTAAGTAAAAAATATGAAATAAGTATACAATTTATTCTTATTTAAAGTGAAATATATACTATCAAAGAGTACTAAAATGACCAATTTTACATATTTATTCTTTGAAGCATAATAACAGTATGCAAAGTCATCAAATCAATAGCATTATAAAAAGTATCAACCTTGTTCACAACAATATCACCACGAATAATATTATGCACTATATGATTCGAATATAAACAATGTCTATGCCTTCAATAAAAAATTATATAGCATGAACAACTGAATCAACCTTATCAAACCCCAATAGAGCTCTAATTTTTTAACCTTTGGCACCATGAATCCTTGTGCCAAAATGAATTCTCTTTTGCTTACTAAATTCATCAGACTCACAAAGCTTCAATATGTCTTATTCATCATAAAATCTCATTTTTCTTCATTTAGCATCCAACAAGAAAATGAAAGTAACAATTGCATGATCTAGAACTATTGAATCTATAGGACATAAAACTCGACAATCATTTTTTGAACTTTTATCACACAAGCGAGTCCCTATTAATCCTCATTATTCCACCTTCAGCAGTTTACTTGTACCCTTTTACGTCTACAGTGCTTAACAACTAGAACTATTGAATCTATAGGACATAAAACTCGACAATCATTTTTTGAACTTTTATCACACAAGCGAGTCCCTATTAATCCTCATTATTCCACCTTCAGCAGTTTACTTGTACCCTTTTACGTCTACAGTGCTTAACAAAATCAAATTTCTCTTTTAAGTCTAGTACGTGTCTCACATTATCCAATACTTTCACAACTCCACCGAACATTTTAATCTTGACCTTATTAGTACCAGTGATCCCACGAAAGGCATTATTCCCCAATATAATTGTTCCTTTAGACATTGATTCATATATCGAAAACTAGTCCCGATTGTGACATGCTTAAAACGTGTAATTAGAATCAAGAATTCACTCATTACTTACAACAGGATCTATCAATAGAATCAACTAACAAGAAGTTTACCATCAATGTAATCTTCCACTACATTAAATTCACAAGATTTTTAAGTTTGTTTACCCTTCTAAGTTTGTTTCAAATTATAAACGATAACCTCCATACATACACGTGAATCATCAAAATAAAAGAACATACAAACTACAAGGTGATAACTAGAAGTCTAGAATAGCATCCAACTATGAGTTTTTCAGCATAAATAAAAAGATCTTGACAATTCTTATTAATATGAATAGACTAGATGTTATCATAGTTGAATTTCCAATAATAGCATCCTACTTCAAGTCCATATGATAATTGTACGACTAATGTGTATGTATGATATGACAGATATGTATCAAAAAAGTTTGCTTATATGGTTTTAATTTCTAGCATTGTAAATATTGATGTTGTTGTATTTTTTTCCTAGCACCAATTATTCATCACTGTAATAAAAACTTGATCGAAAATTGTTATTATTTCACTAATTTTCGTGAGGTCGAAAGGTCGATTTTGTCAAATAAAGCACCCTTTCATTAATTTCATTAATTGTTATTATTTTCATCTATCGAAAATTTTATCTAAATATAAAAGTCAAAGAATGCAGTTTACTGAATTATTTGCCAGAATTGATGCAGTTGATGCTACCACCACCAAACGTATAGCAAGTATGGAAATAAATAAAGTAGTTTGAAATAAGCAGACATATATATACTAACTTGGTGCTATAGCAATAAGATGAAAATAAATAAAGTAAGAATGTTCATAGGAACTTACCATTTTATTAACAACAATCCGGACATTCGGGTCATAACCTCTATTTTTCATTTGTCTTGCCTTTTTTCACAACAATGCTCTATCAATCTCGTCTTCCTCCTTTTCCGTTTCTTGCATCTAAATTAAAAAAAATAACAACAACGAATTAACATAAACAGATGCATATCTAAACTATTCAATTAATTTACGACATACAATCTCAAGAGTTAGTCCAACATATCATTTTCTACTCAACCGATGATTGTATCTATGTTGTCCACGCATTTTTTTTAGCTTTCTGGCTTGTTTCCTACATTAGAAACATTAAAACAGTCAAGACTGGTTTCTAAAACTAATATATATAACAAATACAAACACGAAAAGTTTAACTAACCTCCCACTTCTTTGAAAGTCTTTGCGATACAAAAACCTTCCAGTCATCTATCTTCAAATAAAGATACATATCTAGAGGGTTGAGCAGATTTGTATTAGGGTTATTCTTAAACTTCTCAATGAATTTCTTATACAGATAATGCTTAAAGTTCTTCCACTTTGTCCCAATGGATTGAAGGGTGTTCTTTCGACTCCTTGGATCAAGTTCAAAATTCATCTAAAACATAAAGCATTAATTAATAAATATTATTTTTAAAAAAAAGATAATTGGAAGTTAAGATCAGATGTTAGACTTACCAAAATGTATTGCCATAAGTCTTCTTTTTTTTCCTATTCAACATCTCGCCAAGTGGCATAAGTGATAGGCACCATTGATCTTGCTACCATGCCCTCAAAGGAAGCAAGTTTCGTTGCTTCAACGCCAATCAAAACACCCTTTTTATTGTAAGTAACGATAACTTTTCCTTTAGTAGTTTTTCCCTTTATTGTCGGACCTCTTTGTTTAAAGTCTCCATCATGACTCGAAGACTGATCCGATTCCATGGTACCAAGTAGAACCTGTTTCAACATGATTCAAATAAAAAAAGTGATTACATTGTTATTTCTTGCAGTTGGGACAGAATTAATAACATACAGATGTTGAAATAAAAACATACCAAAAAGTAAAGATTTTATTTTGCACACAATATTTTAAACTAATATGCCCTCGCCATCCGGACGTGTACACAAGAAATCATCATCAAGTTCTACTAAAGGGGAGTCTTGTGAAAAATCAAAAGTAGCATGGTATTCCAACATATCATCAGTTTCACCATTTGCTCCATACTTGTACATCTTATGTGGTGTGAAGCCGACAACAGACAAATTTGCATCTTGTTGATCTTGAACATAAGAAACTTGTTTGGCTTGACTAGCCAATTTCCATTGTTCATTTTGGAGGAATTGATAGAAGTTAACTGCTAGCAATGGAATCAAAATTTGAATTGGCTGGTGGATTAGAATTTGGGTTGGTTGGATCATTTTGGAAATTGGACGGTCTTTACCCATGATGATCCAATGGCTTTGATGCCAATAATTGTTGAACTCTATTTCTCCAATAAGCAATTTGTATGGACAGACAACTTCCTCAATACAATCTCAGGATGCCCCTAAGCTATAGACACCTTGGTGTATTTATTGTCTGGAAACCCAAGAGATTATGTTATTTGCAAGGAAGGATAACTATAATTAATCCCCTAAAATAAGGAGAAGATATCAAAATCTACAAGTAAGCCATCACCCTAAGTAGAATATAGAGGTCTGTGTTAAGCAGCTAATCCATTCCTTCTTCATGCTAAAGTAAAAGGAAATATAGACAAATCATATATAAAGAGATCCTGCTGACTGTTTATTGTGCTAAGATATAGGTGACTTAAATAAAGATAAGAAAACCCTTCACATATGACCGAGTGGACTAAGCCCAAGATAATGAAGAAAATAACCAAAACACGGTAGAAACATCTTGCCTAGAAAGAAGAAAGAAAAACTAAGATCTGAAAATAGTCACCTACAGATACTGGCAATAATATAGGCAGATTTCAGCATCAAACAGGTAGGAGTTATAACCACGTCAAATACTTAGAATTATTACGGAGTCTAAAATTCAAAAATCAGTGAAGCACTATGCAAAGTCAGCCAGGGATGGACCGAGAGGGTGCTAGGTGCGGTCACACCTCTAAAAGGTTCAAATTTTCATATAATTTAGATATTTTCTTGTATTTTCTATTAGTGATTTAATTTCATACTCCTAAAATTTGATAATTTCACAAATTTATAATACAACTTCTTAAATTCACACCTGAAATAAAATCCAGCCTATCTCCCTAAAGTCGGAGATATATCATCAAAAAAATTCCCAAATTATAATACTTACAGATTTCTCATAACGATCTCTCTCGGAAGCAGTGCAAATCTCAGAGGTAGAACTCAAGCGATGCTCGTTCTTCCAGTAGATATCTGCACAAAGAAAATGAAAAAAAAAAACCTTGAAACCCATTTCATTCAAGATTAAGAAAGTAGAAAAAAGAAAAGAGAGAAACCCTAAGAGCTTGGGATAGGGAGAAAACCCATTTCATCCGGCAAAGGGGACAATAAAGAGGGAAGGCTGAAGAATCAGAGAGATGAGAGAGACCAAACGGTTCTTCAATAGCTTGGGATAGGGAAAGGTCAAGAGAAGAGCCAGCGCGGCCTCTGCTGCGACCACGTAGGTTAGAATCATCCACTGCAACGCCATTTTTCGATTTCTTTGAGCTTTCTTTAGTATCGATTTTTCTCTCTTTGTTGTGACTATTTAATATTTATTTTCCCTGTACCGTTTGTGCTTGGCTTAACGGTGAAGGGAACCGCTTGCTGAAATTCAATGATTCTAGATGTTTCTCTTTCAGATGAGAGTTTAGCGTGTTCCTGGCCGTTTGATCTCCAAATTGCTTGACAACTTACACGTGTTTTACTTGCCAATACCTTTATAAAAAAATTATTATATGAACTCGACTCACTATATTATTTATGATCACAGATAATAAATTCCATATAACTTACTTTTTTAAGGTGAATTTCACATTTTTCCTATATGTAAATAATTAGATAATTATATGGAAGTTACTTTGAGATTGATAGGTCTTATTAGTTGAGATTATAGATGACGTAGTGAGTCAGATCCATCTAATAATTTTTTCAATCTTAACCACCGTCGAAGATGATGATATTCATAATACTTTTTTTGTGTCAATGTTAAAAAGATATCGTTCAGATTCATCTCACATTATCCCAGTTGAGCATATCAATGTGAGTTTAAACTTATTATATGATGATAAATCATTGAAGATCTTCACCAAAAGAGTTAGAAAACATCAAAATAAAAAAATCCCACTAATAAAAATCTTGTGGAAGAATTATGATGTAGAGAAGACTTAATTTTAATTATCGTAATGTTCCTTTTTAAAAATTTACCTAACATGTCAATGTTAGAAGTTAACAAAGATAATGTGAGACTCTGTAGGTTGTCAATGATTAAAAAAATTTTGAATATATATTATCTTATAATCACTTTAAACTATTTAAAAAATAGATTCATTCGAATCTCTAACCAATTTCAACCACATGGGATCAAACCTAAAATCGTAAATTAATTTCTCTAGACGACCTACAATATCACTAGGATCAATTTTATTTAAGCATCGTCAAAATGTGCACATTAAGGTTGTAATCAAGTCAAACGAACTCGAGCAATGTTGAACTAAACTCAACTTGAAAACTGTAAACCGAAATCAACTCGATTGAAAACTCACGAGTTTAAAATTATCAATCTCAACTTGAAATCGAAATAAAAAATTAAAACTTGACTCAAGCTCAAATAAACTTAAACTCAAAATATTCTCAGATTTAACTCGTTTGAAGCTCAAACTCGAGATCAAACTAAACCTTAAATACATTAAAGCTTATATTTTAAAAAAATAACATATAAATGTTAATATTAATAATAATTTAATTTTAAAACTTAAAAATTTAATATATATTTTTTTGAGTTACTCGTGATCGATCTCATCTAATTTACAACCATAATGCAGATGAAAAGGTTCCAATGATTTATTTTTTCTTTTGAAAATAGGTTCCAATGATTTATGAGTTAAGTTTTGATAGAAATGAAATCGGACCAACGGAACACACTTGGTTTTCTCCTAAAATATAAGGACAAAAAAGGCACCAAAGATTTAGGACTTTGAAGAAGCTAAAATGGTGGGAGATTCCATAGCTGAGAATCTACCACCCAAAATGCCAAAGCCACATCTAATCTAATGTGAAAATTTGCAAGCATTTTAAGTATGGACCGATTCACAAACCAGATTTCATAAAAAAAAAATTTGCTAGCCGTGCAATATTTTTCCTAGTTTAACCCAGGCAGCAAGGTGCCATACCTATCCGACAATTTGGCAACCTTCGGAACCAAGTGACTTGGATTTGCCATCCATACTGCACCAGCAACAAGATTTTATATCTACAACATAATATCTTTTACAGTTACATCATCACAGAATCTCATCTTGTAAAAGAATTTCATAAATATCAGTCCTCAGATTCAACCCCTTTTCTCTCATCACTTCTTGAAGGTCCGACAGCTCCTTCGCCGTTAAGATGGAGTTCAATCTCAGAAAACCATCCAGCCAAAGCTTTTTTGACCTACCAATTATGGAACAACATTTAGCAATTATGAAATGTAAGCCAATCCAAAATATATCATATGAAAAATAATAGAAGAACGATTCTATTCCCACCATTCTGACTTGAATGATTCATACTGAACTTCTTTTTCCTCTTAATTGATATATACATATTGTTGGAATAGGAAATAATGGCCTAGCTGTAAATATAGGTACTCTAGGGTACATTAAAGGAAATATAGGTACTCTATATGTACAATGTAATCCATGAAGTAAGTTTCAATATAAGCTATTCTTTCTATTTGTTTTTTCACATATGCTATATTCCTCGGCAAGTATCATATTAAATGTTCATGCATATCCACTGACATTGTTCATTTATTTCCAAAAAGAAAGCATTTTTTCTAGCATTTTACTGATATAGAGTGGAACCTAGTAACAAACACAGCCCTACATCTTCCACCAATTTTCCCCAATTAAAGAAAAAATAACTTAGGCTCACAAATTTGAGATTCACTAAAGCGGATTAACTGCATTTTTGAGATTTTGGTTCCTAAATCTTTGCTCTATGTCTCTCACATGATATCCATTTAATAGGCTGATTACGACTATAATTGGTTCTTGTAATTTGATTCAAAAGGGTTTCAGAAGGAGAAGTCACTTACCAAGGACAAGCATGGATAGCACGAAAAAATATTCACCTTGCAGCAGATGGATTGTGGACAACGTTAATCTCGTACGCAACATACAATCGCCAAAGTACAACTGAACTATGAAATTTATCGTTTGCTAGTGCCCTCTCAAATAATCCATGGATCCTATGCGGCGATCCATTCCGACTTATCTCAAATATTAATGCAAAAAGCCAAACTACTACTGATGGTCTCCTGAGAATATTTACAGAATAACAATCAATATAGGTTCAAAGAAAATGTGGAAAAAATCAAGCCCATGAAATTTCTTGAAAACCCAAAAAGCAAAATGCTAATTCATTAAAGAATCGGTATTGTCCTCCTTACCTATTTTTTACCTCTCTATTTTCAAAATTCCGTTTAAGGTCAATCAGAAAATTAACTCAGTATTGGCAAGATTTCTTTGGGGTGAAGAATCTGACAAGAAGAGGGTTCATTGGGTGAATTGGAGTACGGTTTGTCAACCATTGGAAGGAGGCTTAGGAGTATTGGACTTAAGTATGATTAATAGAGTTTTGCTAGGGAAATGGGTTTGGAAGTATGCAAATGACAAAGACTCTCAATGGAAAAAACTGATTTGTTGTATTCATAATGTCAGTATGGACTCTCTGTCTATAGGCAAGGTTGTTTCTCTTCAAGATTCATGGGTGTGGAGAGGTATTCGGAGTAACTATGAGAAAAAGGACGAGATTGGGGATTGTTTGAGATCCAATTCGAAGATCCAAGTGGGGAATGGTAGGTCAATTGATTTTTGGAATGATATTTGGGTTAATGGATCTACTCTTAAGATTCAATTTCCTAGAATCTATGCTCTGTCGACTAACAAAAGGGGAAAATTGGTTGAATTTGGTGGATTTGTAGCTAATGGTTGGGTTTGGAACATTCAGCTAAGGAGAAATCTTTGTGACTGGGAATTGGATCAGTGGCTTTCCTTAATGCTTTTGATTGACAACATAACACCGAATGAATCAGTGGATGATTTTCTGGGGTGGTCGGGGAAAGGGGATGGTTTGTTCTCGGTAAAATCTTATAGAATGACTATCTCAAGCAGAACTGGAGGACATTTTCAATGGAAGAAATGGGTGTGGTCCGGATTAACTCCTCCTCGAGTGGAAACATTTCTATGGCAGTTTACTCATCAGAAATTGGCGGTTAGAGTGGAATTGAAGAAAAGAGGGGTCAATCTTGAAGATGTTTTGTACCCTTTTTGCCACAAATATGAGGAATCAATTCGTCATATGTTTTTTTCATGCTCGGTTGCAGAGGAGTTGTGGTATAGATTTTTAAGGTTTTGGGACATCTCTTCGGTCATGCCCCAAGATCCTCCTTCCTTTCTTTGCTCTTGGTCTTATCTAAGGGAGTGTTCTAATATTTGGAAGTTCATTCCAGGTGTTGTTCTATGGTCTATTTGGAAAGCTAGGAATGCAGTGGTTTTTGAAAACTGGACATTAGATAATTCATCCCAATTCTTCATTTTCAGGTTTAGGTTGGCTAAATGGTTTTTAGCGAAATTTCCTCATGTTAATATTCAAGTTGACCTACTAGTAGGGGATCCATCGCTTGCAGACAATTTGCCTATAAAATCCTACAATAAGGAGAAGGTTCTTAACTGGTCTCTGCCTCCTTCGAATTTCTTTAAATTCAATGTTGATGGAGCGGTAAGAGGTGATGGGCTGCAGGGAGGTATTGGAGGAGTCTTGAAAGATTCGGAATGTTCTACTTTATATACCTTTTCTTTTGCGGTGGGACATGGTCCTCCTATGTTAGCTGAGCTAAAAGCTATTAAACAAGGGATTGATCTATTCATTTCTTCCGAATGGGCTTTGAAGGGAAGACTAATCCTTGAGACAGATTGTAAAACAGCAGTTGACTGGATTTTGATGCCATTTTCTGCCCCTACTTTTTTCAATACTTTAGTTGGGGAAATTGAGGCCTTAGTTTCTGCTAGGGGTATTATTGTTAGATGGATTCCTAGGACATGCAATTGGGAGGCTGATAAGCTAGCTAAAGAGGGTATTGGTTGATGTTTGAGCTTTATGGTTGTTTTGGTTTGTATTTTATTTCGGACAGTTTATTTAGTAAGCTGTAATCTTATGTAAACATGGTTTTTTAATATAATGAGGTACTCTTTTCCTCCTTCCGCTAGTTGCCTCTTTCACAAGAGCCAACTATGAGGGAGGTTTTTAATGAGACCTCCTATTCCTATCAAAAAAAATTAAAGAATATATGACAATCTCAAATAACATAAAATACTGAACATACACCTCAATTTTAAGGTCCTGTTAGAGGATGCCTGTAGACAGCAGTACTAGTTAACAAATATTTAATTACTATTTAAATATAATATATGTTGCATTGATTGCGCAGCTTGTCAAATTTAAGGGAAAAACAATACATTAATTGCACTTTTTTTTAATAAATATCACCTTAATCAACGTCAT